TGGCGCCTGGAGCTGCCCCTCAGCACTTGGGCCGCCACGTTTCAGGGCTTCGCCACCTCACTGCGTGAGCCTCTCCGAGCTGCCCCGTTTTCAGCCCATACGGTGACGACTCTGTCCGAGGCAGGTGGTGCAAGGCCATTTCGTGTTTCGAGACTTCAGGCGCCTTTCCGGCCATCCCACGACGCACACTGAACACCTCATTCAAGCTTAGCCCTGTATGCGCAGGTGGGATCCTGAAGATGTACATGGTTTTCTTGTTGTCTACAAGTCTGGACCTGGGTAGCTGCTTCCTCTGTAGCTGCAGTACAGTGGGTGAGCGTTGCAATGTGCAATCGAGCTGCAGAAACGAGGTTTCCCGGCTTACAGTTTTTCATGACTGGGATGTTCACCCTGTTTGTTTCGCAGAGCCCTGAGTTGCACGGCATGGGCGTCTGCTCCTTTCTAGCAAGCAGACGCGCTAAAAGCATGAAGGCTTCAGCTCTACATGTACACCAGTTCCTGGCCAGAGTGGAGCACTGCCGGGGAGCAGGCCCCTTTCTGGCTAAACCACTGCTGTTTCATGGCAGAGCGCTGCACAGGTGACAAGCCCGCTCCACTTGTCGAGCTCGTCCAGGGATGAGAGGGCGCGCTCTGCAGTCCCCAGTTGTGTTGCCGCTTGGATCTGCCCGGCTTCACTTCAAACTCTGAGGTTGACAGCCTCGATGAATCGAGCTTGCAAAGGAAACGAATTTGCAGGCTGGCTTCTGCTGCAGTGACCATATTTCTTCTAAGGATGTACTAAAAGCCGTCTTCGCAGGGGAAGCCGGTTGTGGCAATGGCTTCTTCTTCCTTCCTGCATGACCGCGGCTCAGAATTAAGCTCTCGGGATAGGCCTTCGGATCCGATCCCCGGCTGCATGAACCGTTGCTGCAATATCTGAGGTTTTGCATCGTCGTCGGTACCCACATACCGTTGATCCAGGCCATTGCGGAACCATGGTCAATCTGCTCGAGCTCTGAAGCTTCTACGATTCTACAGCTGTTTTCTGCTGGGTCTTGCGGGGTGCTGAAGTTGATGCAGACCGAATTCACCCTGCCCGACATCAAGTGGCTCCACGATGCAGAGGCCATTGAAAGGCCTGCCCATGCTCTGGTCGTATCACGCACTGTGTCTGGTGAGCTTGGATAGACAAGGCTCACAGTAACAGCACACACACAAAGTATGTCACACAGAAGAGATGGGCAATTCGTGCAGTGCTTGCAAGTCCTGTCGCACGGTGGTTCCAACCCTGCCATGGTTGCACTGCATGAATCGATCCATCTACCTTCCTGCCTACCTACCCACCCACCAACTTAGCGATCTATCTGTCTGTCTCTCTCGCTCTCTCTCTCTCTCTCTCTCTCTCTCTCTCTCTCTCTCTCTCCCCCGCTCTGTCTATCTACTTGTATCAGCCTACTCACCGTCTACGTATCTGCGTATGCTTCGTTACTTGCCTACAGTACTCATCTGCCTAGCCATGCATCCATCTGCTCATTGGTCTATCGGTCTTTCTGTTTGTCTAATCTTCTATCCTGTCTATCTGTCTGTTCATGTATCCATCTATATCCATGCATCCATCGTATGTGGTGTTGGCTGGACGGTACCCGATACCGCTGCAGATCTATTTTCCTGCTTCTGGAGGCGGTTGTTTTGATTTACATTTCAATTTTCGTTACCAAATCTAGATGTTGGGCATTCTCCCGTGAAAGCCCTATTGCCCAAGGCCTTGGTTCATGATCTTGTTTTCGGGACTCGCCACTCTGATTAAATTGGCTCTGCTTGTTTGAATCTTGTTTGAGCGGCTACAAGGCTCTCGATTGTGACAGCTATGTCGTGGTTAGGGTCTGCAACTCTGCTGTGTGGCACGGAGATCCGCCTCACGGCGTGGAAACAAAAAACAAACCAGGGAAGCATGCCAAACATCTGCGAGCGCCGTCGATGCTTCCGAAGATCAATCGTCATGATCAGCCAGACCCAATGCCAGGTTCGAGGCGAATCATACACCAGGCCGCTGCCCGAAGAGCTTGGATTTCACTTTTGGAGATTGCGTGTGCTATGTAAAGCGTCAATTGTCAGGGTATGGTCATCGATTTACCGATGGCGACGCGTACATCGATGTCATCACCTGGCTGTATGACAGGCGTTGCTCACTTTAGTCGTGCCTCTGAATTTCACGACCCACCGCCTTGCTTCGAGCGGCAGATCCTAATCAATAGAATCAATATGAAAGGGAAAATCTACCTCGTGTGCAGTCGGCTGCCTTGTTCGGCTTTCGTGGTCAGCTACAACGCCATGATCGTACACCTGGCTTGCGTTGTTTCGCTCTGATTTCAGAGGTGGTCGAGGCTAGGTGTTTTGAGCTATGCGAAGAGAAGCATGAACACATGTGGCTGTGTGAGCGCGACGAAGCTTCGGCATGGCTTTTTCGCAGCTTGGCAGAGGGAACTAGGTAGTTACTGTACCACCGACTGTTGCAGCAGTGCGCCTAGAAAATCCGTCTGGTCGAAGCTGCTTTGGCAGCTTCCGCCTGTCCAATTCCTTCTCTTCTTCTTCATTCTTCTCCGGCACGGAGCTCAGCACGGCCTTGCATTCAGCGGGATGTCGAAGCATGTCCGAGCCCGAGGCCGTCCTTCATCCCTGATGACCTCTATACGTCCATGCAAGCGTACGTGATGAATTTGGCCGGGTTCTTGGCATCAGCGGTGCGCTTGGAGGGACTTCCCAAGTCATCCAGGCCCCAATGCGCTTCACCCAGCCGTGCATTATGATGCCCGGAGCTTGGTTCTTTCCGCATGAGCCCGGACATGCTCCTTTTATCGTGCACCAGTGACAGCAGGCTCATCGTTGGCATAGCTAACATGCCTGGTCCTGGCGACACCCTCTTCGGGGCGCGCTTGTGTAAGTTCCATTCGCCACATGGTCACATCCAGAGGGGTTGGCTGGTTCCCACGAGCTGTGTAGTCAGATTTGCCGGATAGAACAGATTCCGGGGTCGTCCTTTCGAAAAGGCAGGCACTCTGAGTCTCTCTGCCACGTCGGTGGTATGTACTGCAATGACTGTTAATCAGTTAATCAATCTACTGGAAAACCTCTCGCATTGCACGACCGACAAAAGCCAAACACTTCGCACATTCATTCCTCGTGGTGCTTGAAGCCCGTCTTGTAGAAGAAGACAAGCCCTATGTGCGGTTTGTGTGCAGCAGTGCAGAGTCAATGTTCAGACTCAGACCCATTCTGAAGTCCCAAACGCTGCGCTTTCCATGTTGTTTGTTTGAGTTGCTTTGTGATTCGTGCTCGTTGACAGATCGCAGCTTCCTCAACTCCCGTGCAGTATCCTGGTCACAACTGAGCCATGCTTGCGCAGATAGCAGTGCTAGATGTCACTGCAGAACCACGTGCAATCAAGAATCCTTGATTATGCAGGGCTGGTTCACACATGGCTACTGGTACTTCATCTCGTGCCCGCGTGGGTAGTGCAAGAGAGGGTTTTGCGATTGCTGGAACACAGCTTGGGAGCCAACCAGGTACTGCATGGGAGCCATTTTGCTGGCATGGTCGGCCGGTTCCCGAGTTCCTCAGCCAATATGGGATATCTTCCTACGTTCGTGCGTCAGGTTCAACCTGCGGAAGAGGCACGCACAGCTACGGTTTTGTGGATGAACTGTGTGCCGCAAAGCTGACAGTCCTGCACTGCATGGCCCAACCCCTCACTTCCTGACAAGTCCGAGGACGGAAGCAAGTACTCGGTACAGGAGGATGAGTCCTTTCCTTGCGAGGTCGCGGCATTGAGCGTGCAAAGCTTGTTTATGGATCACAAGCTTGGCCTGAGAGGCGGCAGTTTGTGGCGACGATAAAGAGGTCATAGCACCTCTGCCGAACGGGAATGGCAGCGCGAATGGGTGCCTCGGCGCTGGAAGCATGGCATCTAGAGGCACACGATGAAAAACTTCCTGAGTCTGCAAGCAGGGTTCAACATGGTGACTCTTCAAGAGCATTGATGGGGTCGTGGAGGGCTCAGGCTCAGTGCTTCGCAACTTGATGATTTTTTCTTGCCCACAGTCGTGTATTCGTCCCAGGTACAGGAAAGGAAGCAACGGCCGGGTCATCAGCACTGCATCCGGATGCTAAGAACGTGACACGCAGCTGCGCTTGACGTGAACCTTTGTTCCACAAGTAACCGTTGCTGCCACAACGCTTCTTGCGTTGGACCGCAGGTGACGACGATTCCGACGAAGCGTCGGAGGCCGCATCTTTCAAGCGGAGCCAGCGGCTGTCCATGAAGTGAAAATAAGTCCTGCTTCCTGGAAGGGTTCGGAACCAGACGGAGATGCCCTGTCCACCAAACCTCTGGAGGTGGGGCTTAAGGGCACCCGGCCACTGACAAGTAGCTGAATCTCGATACCTTGTCGACTCTCTCTCTCTCTCTCTTTGTCCGCGTCTCCGTCTCTGCTAGTGTTTGCTCGATGAACGCCCTGTAATAGATCGACGGACAGCTGGATGCATGAGAGTTCAGAAGAATGGTGTGTTGTTTTCGTGCTTGGAGATGCCCCCCCGCCTTGAGAACAAGCTTAAGCGCAGTCCAGATGCAGCTAGTGTTTTCCAGCTGTGGAGGTGTCCGAGACACTCGTGCTGAGTTGGTGTGTGTCGATCGCAGCAGCGTGGGGGATCCTTGCAAAATCGTGTCACTCGCTGTGGTTGCTGGCTGTCAACTTTCTATCTAGGCCTCGTGCCGGTGCCGATTTGACAAACCTGCGCAAGTCTCGCAGCTTTCAGAGTTTTTTTCTGCAATGTTTTGTTTTCACGTTGGTGATCAGTCTGGAAGCATTCAGGCAATGCAGCCGTCCAAGGTCGCGCTTACGTAGCGTCCAGATGCGTCCAGTCTGTGCGGTCCGATAGACTGGATCTGCAAGTCGGACTCCACCCTCTGTTCCAGACACAGTGTCGCGTCCGGGTCCGGTGCTAAAAAAAAACAAGTATATACGAGTTGGAAACAACGTTGGTACAAGGCGTATCAAGGTGCATGACAACATGCGACCCACAGATGCAACAAAGGCGCCAAAAACTGCCGTTAACCTTTCCTGATAGTAAATCAAAAGCTTGTTTTAAGACGCGCAAAATGCCCGAACCTGTGTAAAAGAGAGCATTGTCCCAGCATTGCGATTAAAACATTAAAACAAAATGCGGACAGACACCGGATTGGATGCCTTAGCCAATTTTGGCTGCAACCGACAGCAGATTCTTCTGTTGTCTGGCCGTTTGGGGCAGTACAGCAGTAAAAATTATTCGAGTTTGCCGGTCAATGCCTGTGAATGCTCGGCGCCGACAGACGTTACAAGCCTGAAGCAATCCGTCCATCAACTGCGCGGCAAGTCAACGAAGCTGACCGTGTTGGTGTGCTCGGCATGATTGAAAGACAAGCTAAACGGCTACACGCATGCAGCGAAGCAATTCACCGTCGCCCGCGTCCGGCAAGGTCGCTGCATGTATCGTTGCTGGAAGCTTCATGGCCCCGCTCCCGGGGAGTTGCACCACCCTTGCCTTGCTGTTTTCGGGTCACGCAATGGCAGTCGCGCATGTCTCCCGAGTCTTTGTGCGAGTCAGGGGACGAGCTGAGGTTGGCTTGACTTATGTGGCATTGACGCGGACTTACCTGCACATCAACTACCGGATCTCAGGATCGGAGCTTGGAATCAGTGGGACACCACATGCTCTGATGCTGGCAGGGCGAGCTTAAATTTTCCACTGAGTATGCTCTGACTCGGCTTGCTTTCTTTGCCGCACGTTACCGAACTCGCCTTGCCTGGTGATGTGGCTCGCAGATTACAGGCCGTACAAATTAGTTAATCAAACCTAAAGAACGGTCCAGTGTGCGATCATCTGCGCCTGCAAGTGTGTTGGGCAATACCGCATATCACCTTTTGCGGTCTTCCGAGTGGAGGCCAGGATTTTTCATGCTGCCAGTACAGGACTGGTATGGTCACAGCACTACTTCAACCCAATTGGTTCATTCCCCCCTCCCCAGCTATCCCCAGCTGAGATACCCAGCTCATAGGCCCCTTGGGCCCTGGGCCAGTCTAGTCGTCCTGCAAGCCGGCTTTGGAGCCATGGGCGTTCCGACCTTTTTCAGCCCCTCAGCTGCAAGGGTTTTTGACAAAGGCTGAAGCAGTGCTTGCCGAGTTCAGACGGATTGGTCAGCATGTGGCGAATTCCTCCGAGGATGGATCTGCGTCCGGTACCCCAAAGTCATTCGAGACACCATCGAGCGAGAGCCGGTGGAGATGGACGGCCGAATGGTGCCAGTGGACCTAGACGAGGATGCCCACTCCCCAGCCACGTACACATTCGGACAAACTAAGTCAACTTGTGCCATCTTGAGCAGTTGCACTGGATCGCATTTTTTTTTTTGCAGGGGGTTAAATTTGCCTGGTCGGTGCCTTGCAAACCACTGCATGGCCCAGGCACCGAACGGCGATTTCGACAATCTGTACTTGGACATGAACGGTGGCCTGACAGCTGACAGCATGTCTAGATCAACCTTGAGTTGCACAGCCCAGGCCCAAAACTGTACTGTATTTCGTTTGGGCTCAGAGAATTTCAGATTCAGCATCCCCCTCGTAACTTGGACACTGCTCATCGTTTGGGAGCGCTGTCAAAAGCGGTGGCAGCTGTAGGAATCATCCATCCCTGCTGCCATCCCGAAGACGGGCCGGCACCAGAGGACGAGGAGCATATGTCACGAGCCTGCAGATACAGATGTGCAGTGAAGTGGGTCGTGAAGGCTCTACCGTTTTAGAGCTTCCATGTCCCAGTGCCGGGAGGTACGAGAACATCTTCCTTTATCTTGATCGCCTTTTCCGGATCGTCAGGCCCATTCCTGCGCCTGATATAGTCATGTTCACGGCATCATTGGACTCACAGTTCTTTATGGCCAGCTTGCAGGCCAAAGCGGCTCGTCTACATGGCGATTGATGGTGTCGCGCCGCGCGACGGGACTGAACTTTAATCACGCACCTTTCCTATGACAACTCAGCGACTTCCTGAGCAGCTTCAGGTGCCAAAATGAACCAGCAGCGTGCTCGTCGATTCCGGGCTGCACAGGACGGAAAGCCTTCCGACCCCTCTTTGCCCAGAAGCTTCTTCCTTGGCGGCGTTGTCGAGCAGCTGCGAACACCAGAAACTTGGAACATACGAAGCAAAATGTCCTGCGAAGCCGCTGTTGACTTCTGCAGGAGCGGGAGGAAATGGAGCGAGAACAGGAAAGGCTCCGACAAGACTGGGAGGCACTAAGCCGTCTGCGCATCTCCCCTGCACGTGTGCACAGCTGTCGTCTTCTTATGTGTGCCTCCGAGCTGCCCCGTCTCTGTCCTTTCGAATTCTAGGTTTCTGCTTGGTGGCCTACTCCTGCCTGCGCTCTCCTTGCTGCGCATGTCAATTGCATTAATTATGTTGCATACGCCCACAGTTTTCTGCTAAGCTCTCACGCCTGTCATGTCCGCGCGGAGTCCGCGCGTTCCGCACAGTGTGACATTCCGCATTAGCTCATAGTATCATAGGTGGCTTCTGCCTTCTGCATGCGGCATAGAAGGGGGCATGCGATGCAGAGTCATGCTCCAGGCAGAAGGGCGAACACTTCCCAACAGAACATCGGGAAAGGTCTTCGACTCTAATGCCCGGCGCCCGAAGCACTTCCACGGTACACCTGTTCCGAAAGTCAAGGGCATAGTGGCCGACTCGACCCAAGGATGGAAATGTGCGTCATGATCTGACAGCTTTCTGAGGTCATCACTCCTGGAACGAACTTCCTGCACAAAATGTCGGAGGCTGCCCGTGCCGTCACTAGCGCAAGCACTCGCCGCGGCTCAGATGCTGACGTCAGGAAAGAGGAACTGCACTCATGATTTGAGGGCTCTCACGGGCTGATGTAGCAGATAAGATGTGATCGGGAGGCTATCCGATACTACATTCACGACCGTGGAGCCGGCAAGAGTTGAGCCACAAATCTGCTTGAAGCGGCGTCGAGAGCTTCGCAATGGCATGTTGGTTTGTGGTCTCAGCAAGAAATCTGGAGGGGCCCGAAGAGCAGTTTTTCCGTCTCTTTTCCGGCTGACAAGACCCAAATGGCAGGCACAACAAACGATCCACTCTGGCAAAAGCTGAAGTTTCGCGTCATCCTCTCTGATGTGCCCAAACGGCACTGATCTGATGTTCGAGCTGCCAGCAGTCACCGCCAGTCGGTACTCTAGGTTCAGGACTGTTTCTGGACATGCTCTGAGTGCTTCTCAGGCAAACGTGCCAAGTACCTTGGCTGCAAACTCCGAGGGATGTGAGAGTAGTGGTTTAATTTGACCGTGGCGACAGGCCGGTGCTGGCCCGACTTTCAAGTCCATGTGATCCGTCCTTGCATTTCGACAGGCGAGGGCGAGCATAAAATCATGGAGTTCATTCGACTGCAGCGGGCGCAACCGGACTACGATCCGAACACCAGGCTGGAGGGGTAGGCAGGTTCTCCCACAGCAAAAGACCAAACACGCTTGGCAGGCACTGCCTGTATGGTGCCGATGCCGATCTCATCATGCTGGGCTTGGCCACCCATGAGGTGCCGGATTGCTCGTGCGTGTTTCGCTTTGGCGCTTTGGGAATGGCAACGTAGCCAAATTCGCGGGAAACGTTCGTCAAGCGTGAGACAATTCCTGGACTGCGTAGTTAGTCGGCTGGGCTGATCAGATCATGGGGCTTTCGGAAAGTTTCCCGCTCGGCCAGCTCGGTCTCCTGGCTGTTGGAATTTTCATTGTTCAACATGTGCCCGTGCTCCTGAGGCACACTTCTCCATCATTCGGGAGGTTGTGATCCCAAAGGCGGAAAAGAAGTGCACCCTTTGCGGAGGCTTTCCAGCTCTCCTTGAATTGACTCGCAGTTTAACAGTGGTGGACTCTGGAGCCCCAGGCACCGGCCACGTTGCTTCGGAGTGCACCGGCGACGGGGATGACATGGACGACAGCATTGCCATCCAGCTGCCCAGCTCAGTTGAGGTCGGAGACCGCCGCGACAGCTGACGTCCTGACAAATGAGGAAGCCCTTCCAAATCGTTTCCTTGCCTGTTTTGCGTCGGAACCTGAGCAAGCAGACTGCTACTTCACGCAAGCTGTCATCGCTACAGCGATGGGCAATGCAAGATGTCCGCAGGCCAATACCTTCAGCTGCAGTTCGCAGAGCTCGTCAATCGTATGCCAGAAACTCTATTATATGATTTCGAGAGGCGAGCAACTTCTGACTCTTCGATGAGCTGAAGAGAAGCGTGGCTTTCCTGAATCTGCCCAGCAGGTGTGTTGACGACTTTGCCTGGCTCTTAATTAGCGCTTGGCAGGCGCGTGGCCCGTTCCCTGCATTTCTCCCTGAGGTCTTCATGTGCTTCTTCGTAGGCAACGACTTTTTGCCGCATCTGCCATCCTTGAGCATCAGGGACGGCAGCATAGACCAAATGATCGCGCTCTATGCCCTTTGCTTGAAAGCGCACGGCTTGTCGATCGTTGCTCCTGTTTTCCTAAGATGACAACTGATGACAATCTCGGTAATGCATCACTTCAGAAGCATTCTTCGTAATGTTTGCGAGCCTTCAAGAATATGGTGCATGAAACTTAGCTAGTCATGACAGGAGCCAGGACAACCGAAGACGACAAATGTATTCATGTACAGTCTAGATTCTATCAATATCAACGTCCTGAGAGGGAAGCAGAATACGTGAGAGAGAGAGAGAGAGAGAGAGAGAGACACCTCCAGAAAGAAAGAGAGAGAGAGAAAGAGAGAGAGAGAGAGAGAGAGAGAGAGCTCGTGCAGCGAGCCCCACGAACGAGCAGTAGCCATTGGGGCGCGGAGAAGAGGCCGGGAAGCGGGCGGTTTAGCGTAAAGGGTGGGGCTCGCTACACGACAATCCGGGGCACATTCAGTAGTTCTATGCCGCGCTCTGGAACGACCCCAATGCCAACCACTCACTAAAACAGTGGGGGGGTTGGGCGGGCCTGAGGGTCTTGACGACCCCTAAGCCCAGCAGAAAGAAAGAAAAGAGCTCGCGCACGAGGGAAGGGGCCTGGATGCTGCCCTGACCCTCACGCCCCAGAGAGAGAGAGAGAGAGAGAGACAGAGGGACAGCCTTCGCCCAGAGAGGATGGGTAAAGAGGGACGACCAGACATGGAAGGAGGTGGCCCACCACGTAGGCCTCCGCGAGGAAGACGATGAGGAGGAGTGGGCACGCATACTAGCCAGGGGGCCCGGCACGCCCAAGGGCGCCAGGATGGGACCGGCAGCAGCGCAGGGGAGCCACCAAGCCACAGGGGACACCACCGACTGGGCGGAACTGCTAAACAGGGGCAACCTGCCACCGGGAAGCTTCCCGCCACGACCGACAACCACAACACGACAGCGAACAGCACAGCCGCAGCCACCGGACCCACGCCGACGCAGAGCAAGCTCCACCACCACAGCGACGACATCACAAGACAACAAACGAAGATGGGAAGGAACGCTCAACACCATGCTGCTGGCACACGGGGGAGGCAAAGTACCGCTCACCTTCCCCCCGGAACTCCCCTTGGCGGCACAAACGCAGCTACACCTACGAGCACTACCACACGGAGTGTGGGCAGGCATTGTCCTAGCCGCCGGTTCGACCCTGGCACCAGATTACAACCGCCAAGCAGGCATGGGCTACATGCGAGCCAGACAGACAAGGAGAGACAACAGTGCAGACCCACCGGGCCACATCGGCGTCAACACGACGTTCGCCCTATTCCCATGGGGGGAGATCACGGGGGGACGCCCCCAACGATGAGATTACCGCTGTAAGTCAAGTGCAAGACCCCACAGGGGCAAGCCTCAAGCCCGGCACAGGCTATGTGCTGGAATGGGACCCACAGCGAAAGATGTGGCAACTAGGAAACCTCGTGCCGAAAGCAGCAACACAGTACTACTATGACTGGGCATTCATGCGACAGGCGGGAATAGTCCGCAACCCGCCGCCGAGGCACTCCACCTTCCCGCCCGGGCAGTGGGAGCTCATGGCGATCAGACTTCTACCACAGCCACCAACACAACAAGAACAACAACAAGGGGGGGCGCAACCAGCAGCCGGATCAAACGCGCATAGCAGCAACCCGGCCAACGCACCAGCACCGGCACCGATGCAAGCAGTACCGCAGCCGCAAGCAGAGAGACCACCACCCACAGGCCCAACACCCCAGCCACAGCGCAGAGGAACCCAGCCAGAGAGCGCACAGAACATGACCAGCGAAGCAGAAATAGGAGACGAAGTAGCGCACATGCAGGCCAGTAGCACAGGAAGTAGCCAGCAGATAGCAAGCCATGGGGGACCGCCGCGCGATGTACACGCTGCCGACAGGGGGCGAATGACGACAGAAGCGGCCATGGCGCGCTTCTGGCTGAGGCAACTGCTCTCAGCCCTCGACAGCTGCCCGGGGAGAGACGTGACCAGGCACCAAGTCGAGGACGCAATGGACACGCTTGACAAGCACAGAGAACGAGGGCACAGCCAGAGTGCCATGGCAGGGGGATCCCGGGACGCGACTGTCTCGGTCCGCCGCCCAAAAGACGCCGCTACCTGAACTATGTGACAATAGCTCGAGTGCGTCTACAAGACCTTTCTGAAGAAGACGGGGAGAACGGCTTCAACCAGCACCAGATCCGGGCCGACCTGGAGACGATCCTGCAGTACCTGGACAAGGCCACCAGAGTCCTGGAGGAGATGACCCGAGGACAGGGGGGCTGCCAAATCAGCTCCAGCTACGAAGGCCTGAGCCAGGCCGGGGCAGCAGTGGAGACAGCACTGGGGCAAGCAGTTCAGGGGGATCTGGATTGGATGTCGCCAAGCTGGGGACAGACGATGGGACTCCTACTTGAAGAAGCCGAACAGCTCCATGAGGAACTGGGGGTGCTCAATTTCGTGCACCCTGCAGACGTGCGGGGACTCGACGAAGGTGGCGTCGAAACCCCACCGTGCCGCCAGGGAGCCGTCGGAGACCAACTCAGAGCCATTGTACGGGACCTACGGGGGATTGTGCCCTTTCTGGCGGAAGACGGGGAACAAGTGACGGCAGCGCTGGCAGCAGTGACAGCGATCATGGACAACCCCATTGAAGTGGATACACAAACCACTGAAGGGGGCAGCCAAGGGATGACACTCTTTGGCCCGACAGAGAGTGCAGACCACATGGGGGAAGAGAGGCCGACGCCCTTCTCCCAACAAGCCACAGTGCCATGGGTACCGCCGTTGCACATGGAACAATGGAATGGCAGTATCCCAGAAGATGACCGCGGTGACATGGGCCCCAGCCAACCAACAGAGCCTACAGAGGGGGAACCAACAGATGCCGAGCTGGTGGCCATCATGGAAGACCTCGAAAGACAAGAGGAAGCGGAAATGAGAGCAGCCGCGGCGGCCCAAGCCAGCCACGACGGGGACCAAGCTGGGGACACAGCGCTGGACCCGGAAGACGAAGCACCACAAGGGGGACTAGTGAGAGCCAGCAGCCATAGAAGACGTAGAATGCATGCCCTGCTGTACGATGACCAAGGGGGATTCAGACACCCAGATGTGTAGGCGAGTGATGCTGTGCCCACAAGTCTAGCTAAGCCGTCGTACAGCAGTCGGTGTGCCAGTCACACAGAACAGCAGTGCGGTAAGTGTGGTTTTGGCCCGGCCCTCAGAGTGGAACCAGTCATCTTTTCGTTGAGAGTGTGCACTTGTTAAGAGAGCAGAGGGGGGGCCGATTCTTTTTTACGCGGCACGAAACCCGGAAAACCCGAGAAGCAGGCGACCGACACAGACTCGGCGCTTTTCCTGCACTAAAACAGAGCAGTGCCGGAACATGGGGGAAGAGGCGCGAGGCCGGGGGATAGTAGTGTTCTAATGTTCTATGGGGGTTTGGTCGGAGCAAGCCGGCGCCTTTTCTCAACCATGACATTCTCACCAAACAGACAAGGACCAGTGCGCGCACGCGCGCAGGGGGGGTGCATGCCTCTCCTTGGCTGAGTGCAAGCAAGAGAGACAGAGGGAGAGAACCAACAAGGCAGGAATGAGAGGGCCTTGGCTCGGGTCTGCGCGCAGACCTTTCCCGGACGGAAGGAACGAAGACTGTCCTTGTGCGCCTGGGCGCAGGTCCGTTCGCGCGCATTCTTCCCCTAAGGAAGGAAGAAGAGACTCTCCCTGCTGACATCACACGTGCTTCTCGCTCCGAGTTTACTCCTACAGGCAAGGTGCGGGTGGGCTTGAAGCTCGGAGGATTTGATCGTCCCTCGTGCCCGGGAGAGAGAGAGAGAGAGAGAGAGAGAGAGCTCTCGCCATTTTGGCTCAAGTGTCCGCACCTTTGCCTTGGGGGACTGTTAACCGCACTCGTGCCGAGGGACGAGGTACGACAGTGTATGCTAGCGCTAGTATCCCTTTGGGGAAACATCGAAGGTGTTTCGCTAGAAAACGTCGAAGGGGTTTTCCTCTGAAGCTAAACAGAACGAAGCTTGTCTGTTTGCTAGAGTGACTGCACATGGCCGGTGAAGCAGTGCTACCCCGTGGCCATTGTGCTGAAAGGCCCCCAGCTATTGGGGGGCAAATTTCGAGTGGGGGTAGGAAGGGGAACAGGGCTAATTAGCCCTGCTTTGGGTGCGCTGCCATGTCGGACAGCGACGCTACCCTGGCGCCGACCACGCCAGATGGCGCAGCAGCTACAGCCGTCGACTGCGCTACTGTGGTTGGGGATTCCCCGCCCCCGCTAAGTGGTTCGTGTCCTACCGAGGTACCCACGCTAGGGGGGGACGACACCGCGGGGGCTCCCTCCGGGGAGGTACCCTCGTGGGTCCCGCAGACCCCAGCTAGTGCCGCAGCCCGAAGAGACGGGGCTGCTCTTCGAGGGCTGGGAGATGGAGGCAGAGCTAGAGGCGCAGGCTACGGTCCAGCGGGAACGTAGGCGCACGCTAGACAGGGCCTACCGGCATCTCACCAGCCAGGGGTTTGGGGTCTTGGAGCTAGCGGTGGTGGACCTGGACGACGCGGAGGACGTCGCCAAGCAGCTAGCACGAGAGCTAGGTATCCCATACCAGCCGTGGCTATGGGATGGCGTTTACTGCTGGCTACAGGAAGCACGGCAGGAAGCTACGGTCTATCAGAGGGTGCACGGCTACTTCCAGGACGATATCACCTGGAGAGCCCGGATGCCGCCGCTACCGACCCCAAGGGAAGAGGTCGAAGAGGCGGTGCTCAGCCACCGGCGCCGCTAAGACCTCCTCCCGGGGAGCGGAACCGAAAGACGCTACAGCCCAGCACGATCAGTGCGGCTAGAGAGGAGCGACTGCTAGACGTTTGGGCGAGGAAGCTCCGTGAGGAGCTGCTAGAGATACATGCCCCGGTTCTCGCTAAGCTGCACGGGAGTCTGGACCCCGCGAGGGCAGCTATGTTGCTTCCCGGGAAGACCCGGGCTTCCACTTTGAAGCGCTACCTGAGCTACTACAGGCAGTGGCGCCAATGGCTCCACGCAGCTAAGCTCAGGCCGCCTCCGGGCACCGCCGCGGACCTGGTGGATTACCTCCTCGCTAGGAGTGATGAACCCTGCGGCCGGTCAGTCCCTGAAGCTATTCTTAAGGCTATCTCTTGGGTGGAGAAGGTGGCCGACTTCCCGGTGGAGCTACGGACCACCTTTGGTCGCCTGGTTTGGGCCGCTAAGGATAGCATAGTGGAGCAGCTAGCGGAGGGCGCCCCCCTGATCAAGAGGGCGCCCCGCTACCCTGTCTACATGCTGGTGCAGCTAGAGCTCGTGGTCATCAACCCCGCCCTGGCAGCAGGCTGGCGGATCTGGGCCTGGGCTAAGTTGGTCAAGGTTTGGGCCACGCTAAGATGGTCGGACCTCCAGGCTATCTTGCCGGCCGAGCTAGTGATGGTGGAGGGGCGACTCACCACCATCCTCCGGAAGACCAAGACGTCCGGCGCTACGAGGAGGGTCAAGGAGCTACCGGTCGTGGTGTCCGAGCACGCCTTCTGGTCGCTAAGAGCTGGCTGGTGACCGGCTTCGACCTCCTCAAGGCCCACGCTAACTACGCCCGGGACTACCTCATGCCGCGGCTGGGCCGGGCGGGGCAGCTGGAGAAGAAGATGGCTACCTATGCGGACGCTATGGTGGCAACCGCGGGGCTGCTGGCTATCATGGGCTACCCGCGGGAGGTCCAGGGCTATTGGACGGAGCACAGTGAGCGCTCAGTGCTACCAACGGGGTTGGCGCTAAAGGAGATCCCCCCGCAAGATAAGGATCTGCTAGGGCGTTGGAAACCCGAGGGGTCCGACGTGTACGCTAGATCCTTTGCGGGTCGGGTGTCCCGTCTCCAAGCTCTCTTCGCTAAGACAGCTAGGGGGGACGACCGCTACGAGGCGCTCGACGAGCGTGAAATCGCCGCGGATCTAGAGCCCTGGCTGGAAGAGAGGGCCAAGCTAACCCACAGCCAGGCTATCCACATGGCGGCGAGGCTGCGGAAGATCTGGATGGAGGGCCTGCTAGGAGTCCCGACAGAGGCGGAAGAGCTAGAGGTTCCCGAGGGGCCCGAAGAGCCAGTGGAACCGCTAGTGCCCGGGAGTAGCTCCGAGGCCTCTGCAGAGGTCGTGGAACGGCCCGCTAAGAAGCAGGCCAGGGTTCCCGACCGCAGCCAGGGCAGCTATGTAATCGTAGAGGTCCCGGGTGCCATTTTCCGCCTGCACAAGGCGGGCGCTACAGGTTGCTGGATGGGAAAGCGACGGGCTTTCCGCAACGCTAGGGTTTTGGATTCGGTTCCGGAGCCGCATGAGTACACACATGTGTGCAAGCTATGCTGGCCGAACCAGGGGGCTATCTCCGAAGGGGACGCTAGCGAAGGATCGCTCGCTAACTCGGAAGATGACGAGGCCCCAGAGGATCACGCAACGGGGTCCGCTAGCAGTCATCCTTGAGCGCAGGGCGTGCTAAGCCGCCGAACTCGCACTCGCACTGAGGCTAGAAAGGCTGCTAGGTCGGCACCCTCTTTCCTTCCCTCTCTCTCTCCCTCTTTCTCTCTCTCTTCCCTCCCTTGCGAAACGCCGCTAGTTTTTAAAGGGGGTGTGCTCGGGGGGGGGGGGGGGGGGTGGGGGGGGGGGGGGGGGGGGGGGGGGGGGGGGGGGGGGGGGGGGGGGGGGGGGAGGGGAGAAAGAAGAGAGTGGAGGGAACCACGTTCTTGCTACATGTCACTTGCTGTGTTGCTTGTGTTGTGCTTTCGTGTTCCGCTAGTGCGCTGTAGGAGGAGCAAGGAGCGAAGGCAGGCGCTAGGAAACCGGGGCCGGGGGACCCCTTTGCTGGCCACCCAGGGAACACAGGAGCTAGGAGAGGAGCCAGTGTCTGCGCTAGGTCCGTCCTGCAGGAAGGAGCTAAGGAGCGGAGGAAGGCGCTACGAAACGTGCGGGTTTGGACCCCGCTAGGCAACAGGGCAACAAAGGAGCTAGGCGCAGGAGCCAGTGACTGTGCTAAACCTCCCTCCACGCTAGCCCTCGGCTTCGCTACCCTGGGGTAGCTAGATTTTCGATAGTCGTTTCACCTGATCCGTGCCTTGGGCGCCGCTATGGGTGGCAAAGGAAAGGATGCCACTGCTACAACGCCTAAGGGCGCGGGGCCACCAGGTGGTCCAGCTACGGCAGAACAGCCCGCTAGTGGAGACTACCTTCCGGAGACCCTCCGCGGTCTTCGGAAGGCGCTAAGGTTTCGGCCTTCAGAGTGCACGGATGGGCTGCACCGCTATCTCGACAAGCCTCTGCTACAGGAGCTGATCGCTATGTCGCAGGAGGCGATCGAGAGGCTAGACAAAGAGTCCCCGCCACGAAAGTGGATAGGGGCCGGGCTACGCCAGCAGAGCCCCGCTAACCTGATGGAGCGGCGGGTTCTGTCCGCTACCAGCTGGGCCGACTTGTCCCAGGAGGACATCGCTAGCCTGGACGAAGCTATGTCCGCGGGCCTCACGCAAAGGTTCGCCGCTACAGAGGCCGCCGCTGCAGCAGCAAAGGCCCAGCTAGACCAGCTTGCTGCTGCTAATGCAGCCGCTAGCGCTGCTAAGGCCAAGGCCCGCAAGGACGCGGAGGCCGCAGCCGCTAAGCTGGCGCTAGAGGAGAAGGCCGAGCACGACCAGAGGGTCGCAGCGGCCGCGCTAGCAGAGAAGCGGAAGGAAGCCGCGGAGCGGCTCGCTAAAGAAGAGCAGGCTGCCGAGCTGGAGTACCAGCAGGCGGTGGCCGCTAGCAAAGCCTCCCTGCAGGCCGCAGAGGAGGCCGCTACCACAGATGCAACAGCTACCGGCAGTGCTGACCCGGCGCCGGTGGCCGCTACTGCCGCCGACACTGCGGCACCCGCTAGCATGGACCCGACGCCGGCAGAGTCGGCCGCTAGAAGGTTCATGGAGATGGGGCCGAGAGCCGCTAGCCCCTCGCCCCCTCGCGCTACCAGCCCGGGCCGGAGCCGAGGCAAGGGCGCTAAGGGCAGGCCGGCCGAGGGCAAGGACGGCAAGGGCCAGCCGCCCGCTACGATCAATGTGTTCGAGTACACGTGGGGCACGCTATTCGAGGACCCC